TTTCGCTCAAATCTTCTGTCCTGTTCTTCCTGCTCTTCCTTTCCTGTCAACTCGTCCTTTTCATTGCGTCCGTCTTTTTGTTGCAACTCTTCCCTTCCATTCGTTGCTTCCTTCCTTTCGTTTCAACTCTTTGTAATCCCGTTCGCTGCTTCTTTCGTTTCAACTCTTCCCTTCTGTTCCCTATACGTCGTTCCTTCCGCTTTAAATCGGTTTAACTCTTCCCTTCCGTTCGCTACTTCCTCCCCCTCGTTTCAACGCTTCCATCCTGTTCATTTACCTCTTCCTTTCATGTCAATGCGTTCATGTCGCTATTTCCTTCCTTTTTTCAAGTCTTACATGCGGTTTGTTTATCTCTTCCTTTTTTCCAAGTCGTTCATTTCGTTACCTCCTTCGTTATAGTCATCATGATCGGTGTTGGGGTCCATAAACCAACCCTTGAAACCGTGACCATGGTTCCGCCAGTTCCTGGAACTGGGGGCCCAGTTCCTAACATGACAGGCCCTAGGACTTGTAGGGAAAATATGCAAGTGAACCAAACAAAGACGTCCGTTATACGGTGAAAACCCACCATGGACAAAAAAATGTCCCTACGGTTTGCCAAAATAAAAACTAGATGCATATATGACATGCATGTAGGCTTTGAGTGTATGCATGCTTTTCTCCCAAGTCGTTGGTGAAAAAGTCGTCTTCGGGGGGCAATTTCGTCTTCGGGGAGTTCGTCTTCGGAATTCGTCTTCGGGGGGAATTCGTCTTCGGGAAATTCGTCTTCGCAATTCGTCTTCGGGGGGAATTCGTCTTCGGGGGGCAATTCGTCTTCGTGGAATTCGTCTTCGCAATTCGTCTTCGGGGGGGAATTCGTCTTCGGGGGGGAATTCGTCTTCGGGGAATTCGTCTTCGGAATTCGTCTTCGGGGGGGGAATTCGTCTTCGGGGGGCAATTCGTCTTCGGGGAATTCGTCTTCGCAATTCGTCTTCGGGGGGGAATTCGTCTTCGGGGGGCAATTCGTCTTCGGGGAATTCGTCTTCGCAATTCGTCTTCGGGGGGGAATTCGTCTTCGGGGGGCAATTCGTCTTCGGGGAATTCGTCTTCGCAATTCGTCTTCGGGGGGGAATTCGTCTTCGGGGGCAATTCGTCTTCGGGGAATTCGTCTTCGCAATTCGTCTTCGGGTGGGAATTCGTCTTCGGTCTTCGGGGCAATTCGTCTTCGGGGAATTCGTCTTCGTAATTCGTCTTCGGAATTCGTCTTCGTCTGCGGGTGGAAATGTCTTACCCGCACAGCGGGCTCAATGTATACATATATATATATACTCTTTGAAAAACAATGGCCGCATGCCTGGCCTGGATATTGGGTACCGCCAAAAAATGGCGGGTGGTCTGAGATCTTGACCCATGTGCCATGGTCAAAAAAACAAATATGGTTTATGGTCATCCCGCCATTCTTGGGACTCTTTATATTGGCCATTCTAATTACCCGTTACATATTGCTGGTATGGCCATCCAAGGCATATATGCGATGTTTCACGTGATGCACCAAGCCGCTGAAATGATTAAAAGTTCACACCCCAGCACCCTTGGAAGCCTCTCTGCTCACGTCTGAATGTAGGAAAAGCTCCCAAGAGTGGGGGAATGTGGTGAAAGGAAAAAATGGGTCCAGTCTAAAGGGCCCAAAAGGGCAGGTCATTTGGAGTCATCGCGGATCAATGGATGCCAGCTAGATGCTTGTAACCTGCACAAACGCAGGTTGCAGAACTAGTACATCATGGTACTGATGATCCGTTTTGACTTTACAAAGCACATTCATCAGCCTGGCATGTTGGGTGATTTGGGGATGATTCCTCTTAATATCCATCATTACGGGCAAATTATCATACGTGGATCCCAAATCAGGTGAATAAGCTATTGTTGAGGGATGGCTCCCCCAATCCTAACCAACATTTCATCTTGACGTCGACCAGTGAAGTCTACTAAGCCACAACAAGGACCTTCCCTTTCGATTGCTAAATCCCTCCGGTTTGATGGCTAAATCCCAATTTTTACGACGAAGTCCGTCAGTTTTATGACTAGATCCACCGTTTTCCAGCTCAATCCATGATTTTTCCATGTTTTCTTCACCAAGGACCTCCCTCTCGGTTCGGTTCATCGCTGCATCACGGACCCAAGAAAATGCGATGTTTCGCTACAACACCACAAGTGCCAAGGCGAGGGCCCTGGCCTTGGTGAAGGACCAGCGCGCAGACCAGTGGTGATTTCTCAGGTTTAAAGGAGATAAGATAAACACAACACATATGCAAAGTATGTATAAATCTATGCACGTGTATTTACATATATATATATATGTATATTATTAATATATGTATATTATATATATATTAATATATTATGAATATTTTACATATATATATATGTATATATTTATTTATAGATGTACATATATATATATACATAGATATGGATATAGATATAGATATAGATATAGATATCGGTATACATATACATATACTGTCAGATACGTGAGTGTGTGTGTGTATGCATGTGTATATATATATACAGACATGTGATACTGCACATGTGTGATGTATTTTATATTGGATGAATGCTACAAGGCTATGAGCATGCATATATATATATCCTCATGTTCAGCAAAATGCATGCAATGTACTAAAAGTGTGCAATATATTATATTTATTTATATGCACATTAAGTATTGTACCTGAGAGGGAGGGAACGAAAGCCAGCGTAAGCAGACGCGCAGGGCTGGAGTGTGCGAAGCAGCGGTGGTAGACGTGACCTGCAAGCGAACTTGTTGAGCTTCGACAACCTCCACCAGTGAAGCTTGTGCAAACCAGCAAGAAATTCCCATCACCCAAACCCAACATAAAATCCACATTGCAACAACCATTGCGACACGAAAGGTCCAACTCGCTTCTGCAGCCAAACTTCATGGTCCAATTTATGTCTACATTAGTTGCTTTTACTTATCCCACCCCCTTATGTGCTGTAGCTAACATCTCCCACTATCGCCTGTGAGGTTACGTCCCGGTCTTTACATGCTCTAATGTCCCGGAACCTGTTGAGCTTCCACTATCTACATGGGTGGACTTCTGCAGACCAAGAGGGAATTCCCACAACATCACAAGCATCACACAAACCCAAGTAAAATACATCCGCAGGTTCAAGTATGAGGCCTTGTGCTTATACCAAACCCAAAAATAGCATCCATCAAAAGTTCACGCACGATGTGCAGCAGAACCTGTTGAGCTTCGACAACCTCCACCAGCGAACATAAAATTCATCAACAATCCAAGCATGAGGTCTTTTGCTTATTCTCTTTCTTTCTGAACCAACACCGCAACCTTCACCCCAACGCGACCAGACCCAAAGGTAAAATGATCCATCAGAAGTTAAAACCTGACGTGCCGCACAACCCGTTGAGCAATCATGCATTCCAGAAAAATTGCCAGGATTCCGAACGGAAGCAAGAAATGGTCTCGAAGACCGGTGTGGGGCATGCTATAATACATGCCGTATATTTTTTAAGGTATATATTATTTTTGGCTGTACAGGCGTTTCAGCAAATGCCAAGATTTCGACGGCTGGATTCGGGATCGCTGTCATACATGTCCTATATTTACTTAAACCTTCTTGTTCGTTGTGAAAGCTTTGCGCCCTAGCCAACCTACTACTGCTGCTCAACATTTCAATATATTTACTTAAACGTCCTTTGTCTCTGTGAAAGCTTTGCATTACTGCTGCTCAAGACGTTGTCCATAAGCTGCGGACCAGGGGGGAATCGAAGCCCTACCGTCACCAAATTGCCACTTGGTACATGACCCAGGCCTGGAAAAGGCCTCCCGCCTGCACCCCATTTCCCTTAGAAATCAATTGCATTTCCACCTTTTGATCCCCAATTGCCAGGGACTGCCCCCAGACCCCGTTCACAACCAACAACTAAGCCGTGCCTGTCGGCTGGCTTTCATAATGTACACCATATGTGTAATATTATATCTTGAGGGCGTGAAGGGAAAAGGCCCCCAGGAAACTCCCATCGAGGTTGTGAATCACATGGGATTGTACTACACCATGTCACAAACCTCCACCAGTTCAAACATCTCCGGGGAATTTGGGGGTTTCCTAAAATGGGGGCAACCCCCAAATCATGACTATGGAAACCCCCATAGTAGCATTCTTCGCAAAGTGCAGAGACACGTCGTCATCTCCTCACTGCTACACTGTTGATAGCTGGCCAGCCGAGTTGGTGGCGTCTTTGTCATTCGCGCAGCTCGAGCCACTCCAAAAAAAGATGGGAACAAGCTGGCCAGTAGCTCACCAACATTATCTGGTTGGTGGTTTCAACCCCTCTGAAAAATATTAGTCAGTTGGGATGATTATTCCCAATATATGGAAAAATAAAAAATGTTCCAAACCACCAACCAGTTATAGTTATACCATGATGTGGTAAACTGGTAAACCCAATAGAAAACCATCCGGTAACCATCCCCAAAATCAGCATGAATGGGTTAAGGAAACCACCCCCCAAATGGTAGGTTTGTCATTGGCTTTACCTCATTTGCATTAAACATACATAAACATCTGTACTGGTAGGCATTGTAGTGCCCTACTTGAAGGGTGCAGTTGGGCTTCTTAATCAGAACCGTGGCAATAACTCTAATGACGGCCATAAACCATCTCCAGGGTCGTACAGGTTTACGTTCATCGTTCATTTGGGGTTGGATGCTTTTTACGTCACCAATCCTACGCAGGTCATGCGAAGGGGGATGCTTCAGGTTTGTTTGTCTGGCTCGTGCTGCACAGATCGCACCAGGACTGTACTGCTTGGCAAGTCCAAGTGAAAGTGGTCAAAACTGCAGTATCTCCTGCCATTCTGGGGATCCCTATCATAACTCTCATCATACTCGATCACCTGTGCTGCCGTCACTCTGAAAAATGTTGATCATAAATTGTAAATGGTTATCATAGGGCTGAGATTTCCCATACTAAAACTCAGTTCCTGATGCTCTCCATCCCCATTTCTGCAGGTCTGGTTTCTCCGTCGGATGAACCAAAGATGAAGCCAGTCGCTCTCACAGAGCGCAGCAGGGTGCTCCGTCCATGGCCACCTTCTCCCCTGTAACGCCCTGGTGCAAGCTTCTTGGCTTGGAATCTTCAAACTCAATGGATGGATTTTAGGGAGAATTCATGGGAAATAATGTTACGGCAATATTAGTAAAGCAATAATTAACCACCCATATCTTAATGGTTTATAGAACCCATTCATGGTAAATGTGGGGATGGTTTACCATTGCTGTACCAACATGAATGGTTCTTACCATTAATCTAACCGGGCTTCCTCTAGATGTTCCCTGATCAATTCTGGCACCGGGTGAAGCAATGGGATATCAGCAATGGGAACATCGACAACTGGAACTCGAAAATTGGAAGTGAATCCAACGAGAATTGGGTTCACATAGCCAGCACCCCAAATCCAGCAGTTCACTATGCGAGTGGCTACAAAGTTCTTGGGGAAAGAGGGTTTGGGTATCTCATGGTGCCTCCTCATGAATAATGACTTGCAGAATAATTTGGTCCGGTTTTTGGCCCGCCATCGGCAAACTGAGCTGCTCCAACTGAGAGATTTGGCTCCACTTTGGTATTGCTGGAATCGATCATCCACTTTATTCGAGGACATCTGCCATGGTCAAGTTGCATCGCATTAGTGGGTCAAAGTCATGCCACCATCATGAATTGGAAGCCTTGCAACCTGTAAATTAACTCCAAAGAGAAACGTCCAAAAGAGCATAATTTGTTCATGGATGTTCCAAATGAAAGTTCAGTGTGGTCTCCGGACATTGGTTTGTCTCAACATGGGCTATAGCGGCTATCCCAAATCCTTGGCTTTATCACGGTCGACCATCTACCCACTTAAAATCAACATCATGGCTCTACCCCATTTTCAGACACTGATGAATGAAAAAACATGAAAAAAGTACTTTGTTGCTTAGATACTTAGATAGTGCAATTGAATCATTGTATCCCCATCATATCCCATCAAAATCACTATGAAATTTGCTGGTTTTCATAGAAATTCTCTCGCCCTTTTCTCCAGACTCCGCAGGCCTTGTAGCGCTTGTAGCGTTGCAGGAGAAGGAACGAGGCGACGAAGCCAAAGCAAATGCATAGGAAGATCCTGGATCACTGGAGAAACCCATTAAAAAACCAGTTGGATCCATGATTTATAATATATACAATATATATATAATTATATATGTGTATATATATATATATTATATATATATGCGTATATAATTGTATATAATATATATATATATACATTAAGAAGGGTTTCGGCTCAGTTTCCCCCTCGAACTTTTTTCGTTTGTGGGAGCTAGCCATAACCTTAGCGGACATCGTCGTCCTGGTATTGTCCGCGGGTGCCTACGTCCTGGACTTCCACATCTTTGGACTGGACCTTCTTGGTTAAGGGTGAGCCAAAACCAAAACCCTGTCTTGCAAAACTTTGCGCCTTACGATTGTTGCGGCTGATTGGGTTGATTTTCCCTGATCTTTTTTGCTCTACTTTCGATTGGGTCAAATTTTTTGCTTGGTTACATCACCTACAAGCCACTCAACTGCTGCGCGCTGGTGGCCTTGTTTTGATTTTGCCTGGTTCTGCAGTGGCCATACACTGATATTTTCCAATTTCAATTCAATTCATTTGATTATTTGCTTCGATTTATATCGACTGGCTGTACCTTGAGGAGGTCATTTGATATTTACGTTGCTTTGCGGATAACTTTGATCACTGAACTGGCAAGCCCTGGTGACATTGTTTCTCACTTTGTATTTGACTCATTTATGTGTTCATTTCTCCTGGTATTTTTACTTGTGATCATCGCATTTGACATTCTTCACGATTCCGCCGTTGAGTGGAACATTGCGCCGACGCCAGCGCAAACAGCGGGCTGCCGCTCGCAGAGCCTGGTTCTTGCATTGCAAAGGGCACATCATTCTACGCTCCGCAGCTTTGACAAGGATAGCTCATACGTTGGCCAGACATCACTCAAAGGACTTGAATCTGATCAAACGCATCCTCCGGCAAGTCGCCAAGATGGAGGAGCTGTGGCCCTGGCGTTGCAACCAGTGCCATCGAATAAACAAGAAGACTGCCATCCATTGCGTCATCTGTCATGGTCACTGGACCAATGGGGAACGACACAGTACACAGCCCAAGCAGACCTCGCAAAGGAACGAGGCCAATGCCTGGGAAGAATGGTCCCGGTCATGGGACGACCATCAACAGAACTGGGAATGGAATCAGCATTCAAGATCAGCCTCAAGAGCAAGTACGCACAGCTCTCGAAGCTCACACAGTGCAAAGCCCATTGCCCAGACCAAACACAACAAGGGGAAGGGGAAGAAAAAATCCAAGAACCTCAGCGAAGGGAAAAGCAAAGGCACAGGTGGAGGTGCGATTGCAAATTCGCCCTTTGCGCCCCTTGCCACAGAAATGCCACCTTGGCCCACCACGGATTCGGCTGTGAACCCACTGATGCCGCAGGGGCCCTCTCTTTCCTCCCAACAAGCTATCGATGCTGTTGCCCAGAAAAGAGAAGTTGTACAAGCCCTACGTGCCGCTTATCCAGACAGTGCCAACACGCCGGAGGACACCAAGGAGCTGATCGACAAGATGGAGAAGGACATAGAGAAATTGGAGAAAGAGAACTCCAAGGCCACTACCAAAAATCTCCATTCAGCCACGAAAGCCTTAGGAAAGGCCCAGAAGACGCTCACAGAGGCGCTGGAAGCCAAAAGAGATCACAGGCTCAGATGGACCAAACACATTGCCAATGCAGCCAAAACGTGGGAGAATCAACTCCACGAATATCGACAGCAACAAGCCACCTTCCAAGAAGTGGCTACGAAGGCCAGGTCAGACATCGAACATGCACGGAGTGCCATCCAGTCGTTGTCAACCAAAGCCACATCGGCCACCCTAGCATCGATGCCGCCGATCACACCAATCAGTGCAGAAACCGAAGATACTGCGATCGATGTAGATCAGGAGGCAGAAAGTGTCCAACAGCAGCTACAGTCTATTCTCCAGAGCTGTGCGGCTTCAATCGGAGTGGAAGTCACAACAGCTGGCCCGACAGAGACCAATTTGGAGATGGCAGACGACAGCCTCGATCCGGGCACAAAGAAAAGAATGAGGTCATTAGAACCTTTCGGAGGTGGGGGTGGCTCGGAATCTTTGCAATCAGCTGCACCGAAACAGTGATTGCCGGCGGTGCCGGTCTAGTTCATAGCAATAGCCTGCATGACGCCAGTCAACAAGCGGAAAGTGCTGATGCCTACGTGATGTCGCAATGGCCGATGTCTCGTGCAGCATGCACAGCCCAGCTTACCAATTTTGATTACGATCGTTTTTTGCCGTGGCAGCACTCGATCCAAACCAACCCGAAATATCAGAATCCCTTTGAAGCAGTGCATGAAGCATGGGTTTTGAGCTGGAATGTACTGTGTGATCACTTTGAAACACAGGTGAACCGCCTTCGATTTGATCCTTTCAATTTTGAACAGGCACAGTTATTAGATTGTGATCAAATTCATGGCAATTCCAAACATGAGCCTATTGAACATGTGGATGACACCTGTGGTGCTGGTCCCAATTCGTTCGAACAAAGTCGACTCAAATGTGAGAAGAGTTTTGATTATCAATCCATCACTTCCCAAACAGAAACCAAATCCAACAAGAGCCACTGTAAACTCAGCTTCGATCCAAATGTAGTGATTTACTTTGGTGTTGAGGATGAACTACTCATGCATTCCTGTTCCATGAGTTTGACCGATCTACCGACCTGGACTCACAAACCTTGGTCAAGAAGACCTCGCAAGCCGAGTCCAGCAGAGATCGAGAACAAGCCTCTGCACATTGATGCGAGGATCGCTGATGCACATCACAATGTCCCTTCAACATGGGCCACCGAACAGACTCAGGAGCATGAAGAACCGATCGAAGATCCGGAAGATGCGAACCATTTTCTCCATGAAGCACCCCAATCAATTCAAAACCTCTTTGATGCGATGCAAGAAGAAGGGGTCGTGACTGGGCCACGTATCCAGGAAAGCATCTTCCTCAGATCTTGGTTTGTGCATCATATCCATGCGCCTCAGTGTTTCCAGTATCGCGTGATTGAGATCAATGGACATTGGAGACTTTGGTATCAGGATATCATTGATGCCTGGAGGGATCGCATTTTACCTTTGGAGCAAGTCATCTTTGACATTGTTCACCCAAACCCACCACGAACGTCTGCCAGCCATGAGTTTTTATTTGACTTGATAGTTTCACAGGGGATCCAAGCACCAAGAAGAGCTGGTCTCGTAACTATCTTGCAAAGAGATGATCGAGCTGCACGAGCCTCTTATGCAGTTGCAACATCATTGGCAGAGCAGACCAGTGGACATCAGATTGTACAAAATGCGGAGTACCTTCATGGATGCCAAATTTATCAATGTACCATTCGTCACGGAAGAATCCAAATTCCTTTTTCTATGGAACCTGTTCATTTGATGCAAGATGGAGATTCCTTCGTTGTGGGTGTTGCCAGTAGAGCATCGGGATCAACTGACACCGCACACGCCACGGTTGAAGTGAACCATTCTTGTCAAGAATATGAACAGAATGATAGTGCCTTCGAACAAGATGATGATCCAGAAAGACAATCACAAAGTAATGTGTCATTTGACAACATTCGCACTGGAGTGCACATTCATCGATTGGGGCACCAGCAAAGTCATGGCCGTATTCGTTGGGATACCATTGATCATGTGCTCCTTGACGTTAGTCGCTTACTGCAGTTGCCGGCTGATGATCTCGTCAATTTTCACCATTTGCAAATCAATCCAGTTGATCAAACAGACTGGGAAGAATCCATCATTGTTCAACATGTTGGTGACATTCCCGCTGGATCCACGGAAAGGCTGGTTTTGATTGACATTGAGATGCATCAACCCCACAGAGGTAGCACCATGCCAAGAGCTCCACCGGTCAGTCGACAAGTACACAGAGTCATCCCAACCCTTGTGAGAAGACATGTCCTGGCCCTGACTCACACTGCAGGCTATTGTGATTGGCACCAACAGGATTGTATTGCCTTTCACAACCACGAAATTTGGCTTCAGCAAGACCAAGGTCCTCGCAGAATTGAGCATGGAGCATATTTTCGAATAATCCTTCCTCCACCACCAGAGCCAGCTTGGGATATTGCTCATGCCTTAAGAGTCTTTCATGAAGCTTTTGATTTATATGACCAACCAGCTGCAGGACAAATTGCAGCAGCCATCATGAATGGACAGGACCAGTCACGTCAAGCTGTCGAACTGAGTGACAACAATCTAGAGGACGCAACATCCTCCATGCACTTAAGTTCCATGACTCATCTTGGTAGTAACTCCAGCAGTTCGAGTTCAATTCCAGAAGATTGGTTCATCGACTTGCAAAGGATCGTACAACGATATGCTCATGCCTGCGAGACACAAGCGCTTGCCATTCAGATTGATCCGCCAGAGCTTGAGTTTTCAGTCATTACATGGCTTCTTGACCACGAAAACCGAAGACTCTGCCAAGAGCCCAAATTGATTACTTTAGGCAACGACCCATCAGAGTGGAAAGCAGACATTTTGCATGCATGGAGGCATCAGCTCCTCCCTGATATTGCCACGTTACTGGACTTGGTTCAGCCAACTCCACCGCGTGCCGATGTTGAGGACCACATCGCCCACGTCATACTCACACAAAGACCAAGTGATGGGTCTTCTGCACTGCTTTCGATGGAATTTCAAGGTGATGCACCGCCTAATGTTCTCATACGTTTTGCGACAGTGCTGCCAAGAGAATGCACACAGTCACAGGTTGCGCAAGCTGTGCCACTTTTCGCTTCATTTATGCAGAATCGTATATTGTGGGATAGACCAGCCTTGCATCATGTTGATCAAAGATTCCACACGCATTGGGGCATGAGTCTTCAAGTCACCATTGTACAGGAAACCCAATGTACAGCGGAAGATGACGAAGAAAGCACCAGCCTCTTTCAGATTGCCACAAGCACCAATGTTGAGCCTAGCTTGTCAAGAGTTGTCATGACCCATGACCCTGTTGGCCTCTCACCAATGACTTGCAAAGGATCCGATCATCAAGAGGACATCGATGTCCCTATGACATCCCAACATCCGACAACAAGGTTACACAGACGGCCACGACCGCTCCATGATGGCACAGAGCAATGGCTTTTTGAGTTGGGTTCCTTGTTTTCGGAACATGCAGTCAACGAGGTTCTTGATGGTGATTCGTACATTTATGTACAGACGTGGTATGTGGATCATGTTCATCATAGAAGCTGCCTCCAATCACGCCCTTTGCGCCTTGATCAGTTTGCAGTCACATGGATTGAAGAATTCAGGTACCTGTGGAGGGATCTGTTAGATCCCAATGTGCCATTTTCCATTCATGTAGTCAAACCAAGACCACCGCAATACCGACATCATGGATATACATGTCATATCCTCCTGGAACAGAACCGACCAAGGGGAAGCGTTGCGGGTGTCCTCACGGCCATGATCATTGATCCATCTAGATCAAACGCAAGGCAGGGAACACTCATTCAAGGCGCTTTTTCCACGCCACAGTTCCTCAGATTACATGATGTGATTGAGACCCTGGGAATACAACGTAGATGCGAAGGCCGACGTTGCCGGGCCTATCACCACCAAGAACCGGTGCATCTCGTGCTTGCCACTGAAGTCACCACGGGATTCAGCATTCGAATTGACATTGAAGCGTCCCGACATCAACTGCCAATCGCACCTGCTGAAGCCACTAGTTATTTTGATGAAATTGTCCTTATGCAACAGCCTGGGCCATCTGTGAGTCAAGAGCAGGCAGCACCATCTCCCAGACCATCCTCGGAGCCAGCCTGTCCGACCTTTCAGTTTAACCCTGATGCCATTGCTTTCACACCGGGCTTGCATGAAATGAGTGAATTCGTCCAGGACTTGCATGAAATCTGGACACGTGCAGCCGTTGCGTGGGAAGGTATGCAGCCATCAGCTGCGTTTATAACATGGTTTGTTGACCACAGAATATGGTACCCACGCTGCCTTGCGAGCAGACCCATTCGAATCACCAATCGATTCACAGACTGGGAAGCTCAGATCAAGGAGACATGGAATGATCAGATTGACCGTCAGGCAGTTCATGAATTCCATGTTGTTTTACCGCCGAACCTTGAAGAGGGAATCGCAGGGCACATCATCCTCATCCAGAGCCCACGTGAAGACTGGGTCTCCAGTTTGATCACCATTTTCGACAATTTCATCGGCCGAAGATCACAACACATGATGCGACTTGTGATCACAACGCATGAACACATCCACATCGAACATGTTGTTTCCAATTGTGGATATGCCCTTGTTCATGGTCAATTGGATCCGAATGTTCCCTGCCAGGTATGGATTGATGGACATGAAATTCATACAGGAAGACCCTGGCCGGGAAGATCTGGCCATGCAATCACCCTCCAGATCCATCGACGTGTTGTGCCAATGCCTGTTGTGAGAGAGCCAGCGCCGGCATCAGAAGCAACCTCATTTTTACAGCTTGGCACCCATCAGACAATCATTTCCTTGGATGATTTGATCCCAAAGTCAATCACGTGTTTGCCTTATCACCTCGTACATTGGGACTTCCACAGAGAATTGCCAACTGAGCTCCTATTGGAAGAAGCGGCCACAGAACAAGAGATCGAACAAGAACTCCTGAAAATTGGCCATCAGAGACACGCATACAGTTCAGGTCTGCCAGGTAAGTTCATCACGGTACCCATCAATTGGACTGCGGTTGCGAACCATTATGTTACTGCTTGTCATCTGACCTTGCAGCCGGTGAATTGATCCTGCATTCCGAGTCCAAGCCCATGGATGAACTGAGTCACATGCGGTTCTTACATTCCTGCGGCTTCATTCGTGCGGTCATTACTGAAACCAAGATTGTACGTGAGGGGCTCCATTTGATCTCTTTTCACAATAACACGCCTGAATTAGAAGAACTTCCCAATTCAGCTCGAATCGCCACACCATGGCCAGCACAGCAGCCGGTGCACACGCCAGGCCCAATGTTTGATTTGCAACAGGTAAAGTGTAATCGACCTACAGCATGCATGTCATTGGGAGTTGACTGGGAATCCATTGAATCATTTTTTCACTCTGCAACTGACGTTCTATGTCCATGGGTTTATCACCTGGATGCGCCTGAGTTTGTATTGGAGGGGCTTCGACAAGTCATTGACCTTGAGGGACAACCTTTTGATCCCACAGACTTTGACAGGCTGATTATTTATACGGATGGATCATCCAAATCTGCCAACAGAAGGAAACCTCCGTTGCTGGTAGCCGAAAAGGATCAACCGGATGCATGGTCTTTCGTTGTCCTAGGCGAAATCTATTCCAAGCATGACAGACCAGGCCAACTTGCATTTCTGGGATGGCAAGCCCAACAAGTCATGTACGAGAGTTACAACAACGCGTACACAGGGACAGATCAAATAGGAGCTGAATTTGCAGAACGCGAAGCCCTGATCTTCGCGGGACTGTGGAGATTAGCGTTGAACTCCACAGTACCCACCATCTTTCGAACTGACTCAAATACCACGGCAGATCAAGCGACTGGTCGAGCAGGTTTTGCAGAAGCCCATCAAACACTCACTGCCCTTCGTGGTATCTTTCAAGCGCTCGAGGCAGGCATGAAGCCTGGTGATCTTGAGGTCTCCCATGTTAGAGGACATGCTGGTGATATATGGAATGAACTTGCCGACCATCTTGCAAAAAGTGAGGCCAGTACGGGACATCATCTACACCGACAAAGCCTGAACCTACCTGAGTTTGCGCCAATTCTGCCGTTTCTTTGGATGCTCGTGGATCACAATGCCGGTCTCCCGAACATCACAAAGCACGGTTTCGATGTTTGTCCGCCTCACTTGCCGCAGCCTGATGCACCCACATCCACACTGCCAAAAGCCGCTCTCTCGCAGAAACCAGGTGACCTTAGCTTGAGCATTGCCTCCTTAAATGTAGGTTCATTGTTCTTAGCTCCAGATGGTTTCAGTGGAAAGTTGAGCTATTTGAGACAACAGATGCAAGCTCATGCAATCCATGTCCTTGGCCTACAAGAAGCCCGGAGTCTACCGGGGCTCAGTACAGTTGATGGCATATTGAGGATTTCCAGCGGTGCGAGCAATGGAGCACTTGGAGTTGAAATCTGGATTTCGTTGACGCAACCAATCCTGAAACAGAAGAAACCCAACAGCTGCATCAAACGCTCGGATGTTCAACTTCTACATAATGATCCTCGCAGGCTCATTCTGCGTGTTTCTTGCCCTTTTCTGAATTGCTTTTTCACAGTTTTGCATGGACCGCAGAGTGGCAGGCCTCTTACTGAACGCCAGAATTGGTGGGAAGAAACGCGCCACTTAGTTTCGTGCATGTGCCAGCATTTGCCGAACTATGTCATGCTAGATGCCAATGCAAAGACTGGACCGACAAGCCTGCCCATGATTTTCGAACATGACGACAAGGTATCAAGCAACACTGCGTTTTTCTTGGAGTTTCTCACGGACCTTGAGCTCTGTCTGCCATGCACAAGTGCTGTTCACGCAGGCTCACAAAGTACTTGGATCTCACCGGATGGGCTACAAGAACACAGAATTGATTATGTTGCCATCCCACAGTCATTGCTTGCACGCTGCACGTGGTCATGCACTGTGCCTACATTGGACACAGGCAATGCACATCACGATCACATTGCGACAGGTTTGCAATTAGACTGGCAAGATGAACATGTTGGTTGTCGGCACCAGAATACGACAACTCATCATGACCGCAGTAAAATCCAGACAAACAAAAGCCTAATTGATTTGAGCTCTGCAGTTGTCCAGCCTTGGTCATGCGACATTGAAACACAAGTTCGCGCCTTGAATGTAACGGTGCATGAACAACTTCAACGTGCCTGCCCCATTGACCGGACAAAGCCCAAGAAAGTGTTCATCGATGATGCTACCTGGGCCCTGCGTGCAGAAAAGCTTGGTCTTAAAAAGAGGCTGAAAGCCGCACACAAACAAGCTCAGTTTGACTTACTCTGTAGCGTTTTCAAGCAGTGGGCAAGAAAGATGTCTACAACAGAACATGTGCAAGCCCAACAGCACTGTCAATCCATGCTTTGCCAGATTCTCCGAATCACGTGCCAGTACAGGCAATGCACTCGACAGCTTAAACGCAAATTGCAGAAACTTAAGAGTGAGCAGCTGCAGACCGCAATCGTTGATGCTGGCCACAATGCTTCTGCAGGCAAACTTCTGCATGTCATGAAACCGTTCATCGGATCGACCAACCCCAAAAAATGCAAAAAAGCTTGCCTTCCAATTGTCAAAAAAGAAGACGGCAGCCTGTGCATGACCCCTGTTGAGGCTCAGGATAGGTGGATCAGCTTTTTTCAACAGATGGAGGGGGGTCAAAGAATGCAGCAAGAAGAGTACAGGCAACATTGGCTTCGAGGACTCGAGCAGTTCTTGCAGACTGAGACATTTGAACTGCGAATCCAAGATATGCCAACCCTGTGCGACCTGGAAGTTGCTTTTCGAAGAGTCCAAGTTGGCAAAGCAGTTGGCTTAGATGAGGTGCCTCCTGAGATTTGCCATTACTGTCCGGTACAGCTTGCCAGACTGTGCTACCCGATTCTTCTGAAAGCAGCCATCCACGGTCAAGAAGCTATAGAGCATAAAGGAGGAAAGATGGCCATAGCATGGAAAAATCGTGGTGATGTCAAAGACTGCCACACGCACCGTTCCCTACTGATCTCCAGCCACGTGGGGAAGACAATCCATCGTGCATTGCGGCAAAAATCTCACCACCTTTATGAAACCTACATGCAGAGGCAACAGCTCGGCGGCAAGCTCAAGATGCCGGTTTCCATCCCGCTCCACATGACCAGAGCATTCCTCAGATGGAAGAGTCGAGAGGCGATGCCTACTGCTATTGTTTTTCTTGATTTAACCGAAGCATTCTACCGAACCCTCCGACCACTTGCAGTTGGCGGCACACTGTCGGACCATGGCATCGGATTGATGTGCGCCCGCCTGGGACTGGATTCGAATGAAATGCATGATCTGCACCGGCTACTACAAGAGCCATCAGCCATTGCAGAGGCACAAGCCCCTGAGCATGTGCAGAGAATGCTCCAAGCTTTTCACAGAGATACGTGGTTCCAATTGGGCCAACAGACAGATATGGTCAGGACGGAGATTGGCTCCCGTCCGGGAGACAGCTTCGCGGACGTGGTTTTTGGCCTGCTCTGGGCCAAAATGCTCAAAAAATTGGAGGTCAAGTTAGTCTTGAATGGGATTTTGGAATCGATCCCGGACATTGACCTGCCACAGCCATATGTCCACTGTTGCGATCAGACACAGCCCAGGATCCCTCTTCTAGGACCGACCTGGATGGATGATTTGAGTATGTTGATCTGTGCCCCAAGTAATGCTGCACTCGTCTCCAAAACACAGACGGCCATCAGTCTGCTATTGGATGAGTGTTTGGATTTTCAAATGGAACCAAATCTCCGCCGTGGAAAGACCGAGGTCATGTTTGCGTTCAAAGGTGCACAGTCACGTCACTACCGCAGACAGTACTACAGTGGCCATGGAGGATTGACGGTTGTGTGTGAACGGCAAACGTACGCAGTATCTGTGGTTCCAAGATATCTCCATCTAGGTGGATTGATTCATCACAGAGATGTTAACAAGCAAGAAATCAAAAGACGTTTTGCCATCGCGCATCAAGCCTTCCAGCAACACAAACGATTGATTTATCGGAACAAAAACCTCAGTTGGCAAGTACGCTGTGATATCTTCAACACACTCATCATGAGCAAGCTGCTCTACGGATTTGAAAGCTGGACGTTTCCAACGGTCCAAAGCCGCTTGCAAATCCACAATGGAGTGATGAGGTTGTACAAAAGGCTGTTGGGCGCTCCTCATGATGCGCACCTCTCTGACTTGGATATCCTTGTACAGACAAATATGCCTGATCCAACAGAACTCCTTCGTAGAGCAAGATTAAGATATTTTGGTACCTTGCACAACTGTAGATCTCATGCACATTGGGGGTTACTCCAAGAAGACACAGCCTGGTTGGACCTAGTCAGAGATGATTTGCAATGGCTATGGCACCAGGTTGGTGACTCTGCACGCTTGGCTGACCCAGCCCAACATTTCATGCAATGGAGGGATATCCTTGTGCATCATGGTGTGTATTGGAAAAAATTAATCAGACGTGGTATCCAACATGCGTGCCTACAAAGAAAGAAGGAATTTTATGCCATTGATTTGCATTCACGAATTGGTCGTCTCCTGATGCAAGAAGGTTGGATTGACAACCTCCCTGACCATGACAAGTCTGCCACACCTGCAGTTGAACGCTGTTTCGGATGTATGCAGTGCAAGAGAAATTTTGCATCATTTGCCGGGGAAAGTGTCCACATGTGTCGCACACATGGAATCTTTGCAAAAGAGAGATACCTTTTCGATGGAACGCATTGTCCACATTGTTTGAAAGAATACCATACGCACTCGAAAGTTCTGGCCCACCTGCGAAACACTGAACGATGCAGGACGGAGCTTCGAAACCGCAAACTGCATTGTCAACCTGCTCCCGGCATTGGTTCTACCGCTGATCGAGAGCTTGTTGAAATCCAGGACGGTGCGCTCCCCCTGCTTCAAGCACAAGGACCGAAGCTGCAAACCCCTGTGCCTCGTGCCTGGGATGCCTTCGACATCCCATTCCTCGAAGCGATTTATATGCATCTCGTTGAATGTGATCAGGAAGTGGTGCTTTATGACTCTATCCGACATTTCATTGGCGCCTATCCAATCAGTTGGACGCAATGTCAGCTGACACTGGAAGCCTTTTGCAGTCAATTCACTCAAGCAGATGCTGATGTTTTGGGATGGTCACATGCCGAGGTTTTGCAATGCATTCGAGCAATGGCACAAGCCAGTTCCTGGGAATTTCTTACCGACAAGAAGGCAGCTGTGGTTCACCGCAAACAGGCTGACCTTCAAGACTGGGAGAATTGGTGCGCTGATCTGGCAACTGCGCCACCAACCAGCTAGCAAGGTTTACAGCCTCTCCCACAATCATTGACCTGACAAAAAGTGCTGTTGCATGCATTCGCGGGCAGAAGGCGCCGAGGAGATGTGGAATGGTATCTTGATTTGCTCTCTCAGCAGACAGAAGGATGTATGATTCTGACTGTGTCCATCGACATCATTATTGACCCTATTCATGGAGATATCTCGCGTGAAGACACACGTGCAATGTGGTTACACTACATTCGCATGGGCCATGTTGCGGGGTTTTTAGCTGGTCCACCATGTAACACATGGAGCCGTGTCCGTGCCGTTCAGCTGGAGGGACACAATGGTCCACGGGTTGTGAGGACACCAGAATCGCCTTGGGGTCTCAATGAGCTGCGAATGGGGGAACTTCATCAAGTCACAATAGGAACGTTGCTGCTTGGTTTCTCACTGGAATGTATGCTGGCCTTAGCCATGCATAGTGGCTCAGGTATTTTGGAGCACCCCAAAGATCCAGAAGACGAGCAGACCGTAAGTATCTGGCGACTGCCAGTTGTCAGAATGCTTTTACAACTTCCGGACATAAGACTTGTGCATCTCTCGCAAGGGCTTTTTGGCGCCCCCAGCCCCAAACCCACAACACTGATGGTTTTGCGATTGCACTCGCTTGAAAGGAATCTTCACGCGGGTATGCTCTGCAAACAACTTGTGTACGGGGCAACGACTGGAAAAGACAGTAAGGGTCATTTCAGAACGGCTCCACTGAAAGAATACCCTCCTGGCTTTTGCAAAGCCATAGCCCACAGTTTTGACCATGAATTTTGTACAGATAGTGCTGGTACGGAGTACGGCACACGGCCTGACCTGCCACTCTCATTTTCCAAGATTTGTGCACAGATGAGAGATCATGAGTTTGGCAAGTTTATTGGCCTGGACTAGGTGTCCGAATTTAGCTGCAGCTCTGCCGCAACGACATCGTTACTTCAGGCAGGAGGAAAAAAATACATTAAGTTTCAGCCACCAGATAAATTTCATTTATAGTCTTAACCACAAACTTACAGTTAGATAAACTAAAAATTAAACACTCAATAAAAATACATGCATACTTTTAAATAAGTAACAAAAATACAGTGATATAAATTTATTTAACCACAATACAGTTTTGGTGGAACCCAATGGAATCCACCAAGGGAAGATCAACAAACGACATCCCAAGCGCAACTTGGAGCCCAGTATCCCAGTCTCGAAGAGCATCGCGAGTAACATCAGGAAATATGCGAACCTCAGTTGGACATTCAGCGACACGGCTCTTCCCAGATGGCTAGATATGGCTAGCATGTCACAGGAAAGTCGCGATCCACCATGACCTGTGATACAAAACTTGGCCCAAGAAGAGTTGACACTTCACGCCAAGGCACATCATTTGGAGTCCATACCAGGCCGCAGCAAGCGCATCCTCACTGCCACATGCAAAGGATCTGCTATCTGCTATGCTTCCATGTGTTTTTCATTTTTAGAATTTCTTCAGTTGAGAAGTAAACCCGATCAATATGGGACAGTCATAACAGAAGTGCCTCCAAGATTTCTAGCTCCAAACCAACTCTCAAGTAGGGCAGCGCGGGGAGGAGGAACCTTCTGCCAGACTGCTGGTCTGACCCCTGAACCCCTTTGGATCATTCCATTGTGTCTGGTCCTTGTGCTTTTGCACGGTGAAACTTGGCCATTCCTGCACCCTGGCCGCGTGGCAGTACTTCGTTCTTTGTCTTGCGGTGGCAGGCGCTGCTTTGTGCGTTTGCTGACCTTCTCTTGGTCTTAACACCTGCCATATTGCTTGGCTGCCCCGGTGTTTCGCGTCGCTCCTGCGGATGCCATGGCACCTCCTGATGGAGGGGATCTGCTATGTAGCTTAACCCCGTGCCAGGTTGCTACAGAAACCTAACACTCTCAAGTAGGGCAGCTCTACCAGCACTGCCTCCAGCTCATCGAGAGCGCGGATAGAGCGGGTGACGAACTGTGGAATCGTCAGCGAAGTGTGCAAGGTGATGACCATTGCATTAGCTGTGAGCAATGTTGCGTTCAATTCAAATGCCGTGCAATTCGCCATGAAATGGCTTTTCAATTTGTACTTCATTGTCATCAACCTTTGTTTGGAGCTTGGACGGTTTCTTTGGACCGTTGGTGCTTCTGCGAAGTTTAGTGACTTTTTCAGGCAGTATGGTTTCAATGAGATGCTGAACAACAGCGTGATAGTTGTAACTGCATGCTGGACTGAAATCCTCAAGGAGCAATTTGCCTTGCTTGCGGAATTTCTATTTCTTTTCGTGTCCCAAAGTGGACAGGTGGCGCTGTGCGCACTCAGGGAAAACAGAAGCTACAAGCTCGCTTTCTTTGTGTGTTGCGTGTTGTGGAGCTGGTGGAATTTCAAGGAAAAACGCAGCGCTAGGAAATTTGTTGCTGCCAGATGGATTGCTAAACGTAGACACCGATTCAAACGAAGGTCCAAACGCAAACCTGGTTTTTGCTTCCGCTGTCTCTCCGGTGCATTTTCCTTGTTGTTTTGTGTTGGCCAATGGTGTTTGATTTGGTGGGGACTCACTTTCGGGTTTTTGGTTGTGACTCACAACACATGTGCCAGACTTGTGCATTGGTGCTTTGACTCTGGCTGTGCTGGAATTGTCATTTTAAGCTGGCTCATTTTGCAGGCGAGTCTGTTTCCTCTGTGTCACTTGCGAAGTAAACCTAGAGTGGGCCTGAATTCCACTCTTCGGGGTGGAGGCAGAGGAGCCGCCAGGGTGACGGCCAGGAAAAGACAGGAAAGAGATCAGAACTGCCAATTGCTTGAAGGACTTAAAAATTTGCTTGAGAATTTTGCTACTCATGACAAACATCCTTCCTCCACTCATTCTGGATCCTCTCACATTTCCGGGTTGGGTAAGGGTAAGGGATGGGGTAAAGGAAAAGGTGGCACCAAAGACGCTGGTCGGACCAGCAAACCCCAAAGTTTCTATGAGGGACATAAAGCTGCTTCTTGGTACCGTTGGGACCAGTTGGGATCTCAGAGTAAATCCAGCGGAAATCACTCTGACACTGATTCTGAACTGCTATCGGCTTTGGGAAAGCTGTGCCAAAGAGCGGTGACACAACCGCAAGGACTGCTTGCCAGAGTACAGGCTCTGGTCACTGCGGCCAGCAATGGGAAAAAGCTTGGGAAAAAGAAGAAAAACAAGTGGTCTCATACTTCCACCAAAGCTCCATGGACTCCACATGACACTGAGGATTCTTGGCATGACACCGAACCGCAAGGACGATCTTTGGGCTCAAGTTGTCAAAAACAATCGGAAAAGTCAGGGTGCTAAGCCACCCGGCCCTGAGGTCAGACTGCAACTCATGCCAGCCTGCTGGGGCCCGAAAAGCATCACTAGTTATGCTGTGGTTAAGAAAGCTTTGGACGAAGGAAAAGCTCCCCCGGGCAAAGTTGTTTGGCTCAACACTTTTCAGAATGCTGATGACATGCAAGGATTGGCCAAACTTCACGAAATCAAATGTGATTTCGCTCTAGCAGTTTTGCACACTGACACCGAAAGGCAGCTTCCTGACAACGCAGTAGTCAAGAAACTAGCTGTTAGTGACGCATCGGGCAATCGCGCGACATTCAAAGAATTTGTGCTCCTTCCACTGGCTGCTAAACTCCCTGAGCTGCCTACGGACTCGGTCCAGGAGTCTAAGCATACTCCGGTTGAAAGAAAGCTGGCTTGTTTCAGGGTCAGCATCCCAGAGGCCTTTGTAGCCAAGGACAAATGGAAAGAGTATTGCGCCAACCCAGGCACGGCAATCAAACAATGGACAGGCACCGCAGCATGCTTCCATTCTTCGTTTGCTTGGAAAACCGTTTCCGACAGGGACAACAAGGACACTCAATGCCTGAGTGGGTTTATCAAAATTGATGAAAAACAAGTAGCCACTCTCATGAAGAGATCAGGGACTGAAGGAGTCTTTGTCGAAAGACACTGGGCGGAAGCCCCACGCAGACCCCCGGTCAAATGGATCTCACCCAATGAAAACGAACCTATGGATGCTTATTTCCAGCGTGTCAGAGAACAAGCTGCAGCAGCCAAAGTGGGTCTGGCATGGCGACTTGGTGGATCAGCCACGTTGGGTCTTCGATATGAAGATGGACACGTTTTGGATGAAGAAACAATGAAATGGAATGTTCTGGGGGTCCCCAAATTCTGGAATGAAACAGATGTGATAGAGGCTCTGAGAGGTGCTGACTGGAAGGACATTGAAATCCTGAGCTCCCGGTTTACCACATGGACTATCAAGGCCAAATGCCCTACAAACACCCAGGCTGGTGTTGTGGGCATCATGGTCGGAAGCAAACTGCTCCGTTTGGTTCGCCCTCAAACCAAACAAATGACCAAGTACAAAGTTGCTCCCATTCGTCCTGGCACTCAACGCAAAGATGCGTCCAAAGTTGCCCCCATGGAAGAGCAGGAGAACGAAGATGGTCCGGTGGCAAAACGCTCCAGAATTGACCAAGACACAACAGAAGAGCGAGATTGTGGAGGTGCAGGAGCTTGCGGATTCAATGCTCTGGCCGTTGGAGCTGCAATTATTCGTAGCCCAAAACCCGACGCCGCCGCGTTTGAGGAAAGAAAGGATGCGGCGGTCACCATGGGTAGAACTCTTCGGCATGAAGTTTATCAATATTGTCGAGATCACAAATATTTTTTAGAAACTTTTTGGGCAGTTGACTCCAAGGCTACTGAAGCCATGGAAGATGGCAAAATCCCCCAAACTTATGATGATTGGGTCAACAGTTTAATCAGACCTAAAAAATGGGCGTGTGGACTGAGTCTTCATGCTGCGGCCAAACGACTCAAAGTCCGCCTGATTGTACTTGAAGGGGGTTATGATCAACCGTATGTTGTCAGGGAATGTTTCGGCCAATCCAAACCTGGTGAGCGTCCTGTGGTCATTGTACTTAGGAATCAACATTATAAGCTCATTCTTCCTAAATCTGGAGCTACTTTTCCAAAACAGTGGCTAGAAACTGAAGCAGGTGAACTTGCTCCAGGTCTCAGTCTGGAACTTAGAGGTGCGGGGAAAAGTTGGCTTCCTAGCTCCTCTGCTAGCTCCATCAGTAGCAGGAAACAAGCTGCGCCTAGGTCGGGGTCACAGCATGGTAGTTGGCTTCCTCCCAGGTCGAAATTTGACATTGGCTCAAACAAATCAAAAAAGGCAGGTTCCAACAACGCCAGTTGGCTCCCGCCAAGGTCACCTCAGGATCTAGGCACTGGCTCAAAACGGTCCGTTGGGACACACAGATCTAAGGTGAAAAGCGGCTCCCCAGGCTTAACTGAGGCCCATGCAGCGGCAACACATGAATCTGTGTCTATTGCTCGAAACCTTGCCAAGGATTCTCCAGCTAAGGAACCAGCTAAGGTTTCTGCAAAACAGCCAAAACAGCATCCCATGCGGACGGACGGGCTCGGTGGTGGGAATGTCCCTGTGGGTTTGTTGTATTTAAACATAAAATTTTGAATGGCCATGGACCTGCGAGACGTCGGCACATTGAAGTGTGCTCCCAGGCAGGACAGGCTGGCCCGCCTCTCAAGGGCCCAGTCACCAAGTTTAAACCCACGCGAGAAGAGCGCAAACAGGCATGGATTCAGGCACGACTTGCGCGCGCCACTTGGGAGCAATCTTTGGCTAAGGACAACCAAGCCATTCAACTTTCTTCTGGAATCATAGGTCGGCTGGTGCCTATCAAACCAGCGCCTAGATCTTTATGGTGGTCATGTCCCTGGTGTCATTTTGAGGTTTTTAAGCACGAAGGGGTCGGGGGTCATGCGGGAGCTAGGATCAAACATCTGAGACATTTTCATGGTTGCGATGAAATCCCGACTTTGCACCGTCATGGTGTTGCATATAATGCAAAACGTGCTCAGGCCACTCGAGAAGCTTGTGACAAAAAATGGCTTCTCACTTGGGAAAATTTCCAGAAGGTCATTTGGAAAGGAGCTCACACGATTCAAAAGGAGTTCACAACGCGAGTCACTGCGAAAGGGAAAAAAGTGTATTGGCATGAATGCACCACCTGCGGAATCTCAATCCCTCGTTGTGCCATCACTCGGTATGTTTGCCCTGCGGTCTTTAAGAACTCCAAAGCCAAAGGACCCATTTCTCTTAGAAAACGGATTCTGATTTGGAATGGTTGCAGTAAACCTGTTTCTAAGTCACTCAAAAAAGACTATCTTCAAAGGAAACAAGGACGATACACTAGGAAAGAAGCTTTGGTCCTTGCCAGGGAAGCACAGCGGAATCAGAGGCGTGCTGCTCAGGCTGCTACGCCACGCGAGGCCTCTGCCCCCACAAGGCGTGGGCACCGGGCACAAAGAATTGGAGAAGCCCGACACCCAGGACCGTCTGGTTGTGGTCATCTCAGTTCATGGAATATTAATTCTTGGAAAAAACACCATCGAGGCTTATTCGATGCTATTCATGACTGCGGAGCGGATTTGATTTGTCTTCAGGAAACTGGTCTTTTTGAGCATCAAATTAATGGACCAAAGAATTTCGCTCACAGGATTGGTTTTCAGATGAACACCATTCCCGCTGGACAATTTGCAGACGGTGGCCGAGGTGGCCGAGGGGGCCTCGCCATCCTGGCCAAGCTTCCATTTGGGCTCAAAACTGTCCATTCTGTTGTGAACCAACATGGTCAAATCCTTGTTTGTAAGGTCTTTGGGGCTAATTTGTCGCTTACTATTATCAATGCCTATAAGCGACCTGGCACTGCCCATGACGATCTCCTTACCGATCTTCTTGAAACTATCCAGCAGCACGGAAATCAAAACTGGATTCTGTGTATGGATTGGAACACTGACCCGAGCAATGTGGAAGCCTTCATCCACCCGCTCGGTGGCCGAAACGTTGCCTCGGCACAGCATGTAGCTGGGAGCCACCCCATTGATTCAATCTGGCTGGCCCAAACCCTAGAAGTAGCTAGTAGTGGCACTTTGGATCCTCTTTCTGATCATGAAGGGATGACAGTCTCCATTAAGGAAATTGCTCCTTCAAAAACCCAAGGTGCTTATCAACTGCGTCCATGCCCTGTTTTGAGCGAAAACACCTTTCAGCCAAACAACGCTCTTTCATGGACGCCAACGATGGACGATGAAGAGTGGGAGCATCTTGTTCAGGACTCCAACATTGAACTTATGTGGGCAATGTGGACCCAAGAAGCGGATTTTTTTCTCCGGCACACAGGCCTTCTGCGAGACGCTACTCATGGAACTCGCTCTTTTGGAACTATGCCTCAGCTGACCTGTGCTCCTAGCAAAAGGGGGCCCTATCAAGGTCACCGGGAACGACAATTGCGCCGATGCGTTCGGTCCATTCAAGAGATCCTCACCATCTCTCGCCATGGTCGTGCACCTCCAGACACTCTTCTGAAGCGGGTCCAGCACCGATGCAGGCAATTCGGAGTGGACACTACACAAAACCAATGGGCACACACTCACGCTCAAATCTTGAAGATGTTGGATGACGAAGTGCGCAGAGTCGAACAAGCTGCAATTCGCAACTGGCGTGGAAGAATGAAGGACAATCCCTACAAGTGGGTGGCTCAGGAAGCTGCCACTCCGTGGTTGTTGGAAAAGACAAATGGGGAAATCGTTTCAGGTCTCCCCGCTGGTGCCGAAAGTCTTCGGCAAACATGGGCAGATATTTTTGGAAGCGGAGAAGCGAAGGCCAATGTGGAAGCATACTTCACCGAGTACCAAAGTTTCTTGGCTCCTTCTCAATCTATGCAAATTGCTCCTCTCACCCCGCAGCTGCTCCGCAAAGCTAATCACAAGATGATCGGAAAAGCGGCGGGGATGGACGGATGGACGGCCAAGGCTCTTCACTTTCTTCCTGACAAGTTATGGGCAAGATTGTGTAGCGTCCTCCAGGCGGTTGAAGCCACACACACGTGGCCTCGAAGCATGTATCAATGGCGCATTTGCTTTTTGCCTAAAGGGAAAGACACCATCACAACGGTGCAATCTACACGCCCGATTGCCATTGGGTCCATCATGTACAGGGCTTGGGCAAGGTGCAGAGCAAAACAGGTGACGGAGGCGTTCACCACTAGCCCTCTCGCGACCATGCAGAGTGGTGGTACGGGCATTGATTGCGAACCGCTGTTGCTGGAATTTCTTCAGAACGAGACCACCAACTACCCATTTGGTTTATCTCTGGACTATGCGAAAGCCTTCGACAGCACGGATGGGAACTTGGCTATCGCAGTTTCCGACATTGGGGCATTCCGGACACTTTGTGCAATACCATTTGGGACATGTGGCAAAAGCAAGCCCGATGGGTGGCCTGGGGTAACACTTTGGCTAAGGACCCCATCACCGACACCTGGTCTCTTCCTCAAGGTGACCCATGGAGTCCACTGGGGTTGGCCGCTGTGCTCAGCGGTCCTGCTAGGAAGGTTGAACACCAGTGCCCCTCCATCAAGGCTTGTACCTATTTGGACGACCGTTCAGTTCGCACCCAAACTCTGGAAGACTTGACGAACTTTGTCCAGCAGTGGAGGCCCCTGGAATCCATTACTAGACTCAGGACGAATGAATCTAAAACTCAAGTATGGGGAGATTCGGCTGAGGCCATGGAACAACTTTGCAACAATGGCTTCAATGCGCGCATTGCGGGGGAGATCCTGGGAGTTGGGGTTGGTAAGTTGAGGGTTGATCCGGTCCCTAGAGAAGAGAAACGCTTCGCCGCCATGTCGCGTTTGTCCCAGCGCATCTCTATTCTCCCGGTCAAAGTCTCTCTTCGTCGGCAAGTCGCGATCGCTCTGTTGTCGTCTCGGGCTCTTTGGGGTGTCTTGATCTCCGGGCGCAGTCACACCAAGTCTGAATTGGCGCAATACAAAGTTGCCTTCAGTCGGGCGGTTCGGGGCAGTTGGGTGCGGGGGGGCCGCCATTCGGTTCAACTGTACAACGTCTTTGGGTTTGGTCATTGGGTCGATCTCTCTCTGTCGTCGATTCTTCGATGTCTTTCTGCGGTCCGTCGGTGGGTGCTGTGGAGGCGTCGTATTGGTAGTTCTGATCCGTGTCTTGCGTGGCTCCGCCCTGTCATGTTGGCGCGCGGTTGGGTCAACGACGCTCCTTTGGTCTGGTCTCATGCTGAGTACGGTAGTCTCTCCCTGGTCAATCCTGATTTGTTTGCACGCGGTCTGCACGCCATGCGCACGCAATGGAGATGGGAGCAACTGGGACATTGGCTTCGATCCAAACGTCGCGACGCTACCTTGATTCGAGCGGCTGGTGGCTCATTGACTGGGTTCAACTTGGATCGTTTTCGGTAATTGGTTCGAAACCTTGACGCTCACGGCATTGCTATCATTACTGGAGGTATGAAAACGGAGGCGACAGGTACACAGGTTCAGAATTGGTGCACGTGCTGTCAATTGGAAATTTTCCCCTCTCTTGATCACATTTTGTGGGAATGTAGTCGGTTCAGTCATCTTAGGGTCTACCCCAAACCCCCGAATATTTGGGCTCAGAGACTTGGTTGGGATCCAGACACCTATTCAATTCGCCTTATCAGGCAAATGGCACAGATCCGCGCATGCGAGGTCAAAATCAGGCTGCAACAGTTGAAATCTAACAGGTGACCATTCTCTCAGTCTGGTCCACTCTTGGAATCGAGACCATTCCTAGTGTCTGGTCTAGTTGAACCTTTCTTCTTTGGAAAACCGGATCATTCTTTTGTCTGATCCTTTTGGAACTGTGTCAATCTTGGGACTGACACCTGGAAACCTGGTCATTCGCTCTCGTCTGACCTTTTTCCCCTGCGCGGGGAGGAGGAACCTTCTGCCAGACTGCTGGTCTGACCCCTGAACCCTTCTTTGGATCATTCCATTGTGTCTGGTCCATGTGCTTTTGCACGGTGAAACTTGGCCATTCCTGGGGTCTGGCCGCGTGGCAGTACTTCGTTCTTTGTCTTGCGGTGGCAGGCGCTGCTTTGTGCGTTTGCTGACCCTCTCTTGGTCTCAACACCTGCCATATTGCTTGGCTGCCCCGGTGTTTCGCGTCGCTCCTGCGGATGCCATGGCACCTCCTGATGGAGGGATCTGCTATGTAGCTTAACCCCGTGCCAGGTTGCTACAGAAACCTAACACTCTCAAGTAGGGCACAGTTCATGGAAAATATATATCCGAAGGTGCTGGATCCTGTTGGTGCATCTGGTAAAGTGCCCAGTGCCACAAGCTGATTCGCGGATGGGATCATTTCGAATCACTTTCGGAACAAAAAATGCAAACACCTCGCCAAAATTATCCAAAATTCAACTGGGAAACCAAATGCTGCAAAGCATTCACTTCTTGCCTCCCCACCAGCTGAAAGGATTTCATTTTGGACGTAAATCCCGCTTGTTGCCGTGGCAAGCATCAAGTCCGAAGGTGCGGCTACTGTTTTTTGAGGATTCCAGCACTTTCTCACGCAGGATCTGAATCAGAACCTCGGTTGGTACACAGCCGATCCAGCAGACTCTCCTACCATCTCTTTACCAAAGGTGCCAGACTTCCCGCTTAGCCCGCTTTTTTCCGAAGAAGGAAAGCACTTTGTCAAAGAGATCATTGCCAATACTATCTCATATTCCAAGTATCTGGAAATTGATCTGAGATTGGCCATTCAAAATGCTTCAAAGAGTTCTAAAACATGTTTGGTGATTGTCACTGCAACTTCCTAACTCGTCAGATCTCAAGGTCCCCCATGTGGTGACTATGGGTACACCCATGTGCTTCATTGGTTAGCCTGACAAGAACACCATTTTAAGGGGCAGTGAATCATGGCTACTGATCAAAACCCGCGTACCCTGGTTTTCGCATCCAATGACCCGTGCCTATGTATGTTCATCCCGCATTCATACAGGCTGATAGGTTGTGCCCCGTCCCGGCCATGAACAGTCCATCAGCTCTCTGGGCAAGACACAATGACCGTCGGCATGAGGAAAGCTGCAAAACATGCGCCAAAGTACTTCGCTGGAGTGTCCTTGGGTTTAAAAAAACGGTCAACTGTCAGCTTGAGGTGGTGTAATCCACTCCCCAAAATGCTGAGAAGCTACAGTTCTAGAGCAGATGCGGCAAAAAGGCAACGAATGTGGAAAACCCAATAATAAACCATCATCGCAACTAGATGCAAACAGGAGTATACCCGACATCACCCAACAATAGACCTCCGATTGGGGATGGCTGCGCAACCTGGTGTTCCGCGCAGAGAACACAGAGATTCTACCCGCGTCAACTGGCCATTCCAACGTGTTGGCAAAGGCTCAATGCCTTCCATGAAGCGCAAGAAGATCTTCACATGGATCAGTCAAGGAGCAGGAAATATGGGATGAAAAAAGTGCCTGGTGTCCCCCAACTCATGATCCAAATTGTCTGAAAATGATGGGGAAACTCCCCAAATTGGATAATTTATCCTCATGTTTCCCATTCAAATGGCCATAGATTGGAGTAGATCTCGATCTCACATTTTGACGAATCCAACTGTCATATTATGGTGACACCTCCAACTGTTCACATCCATCAACTATATCCCATGATATCCCATTATATCCCAATTTGATCCTTTGATTTTTTTTACAAGACAAAACTTCCACGCCCCAACCCGGGAACTATGTTGCAGCCACGGATTCCACAACCCATCCTGGAAACAGGAACCTCGGAACGACCGCAGACATCCGGATCTTCGAAGGCTTTGGTATTCTAATTCATGGTTCAATGCATTGGTTCAATGTCAACCCAGGATAACTACTATAATTATGTAAACACACTAAACACCCAGATTATTGATAGGGGGTACCAATTTTACCAGTGATTTATCACAGATGTGGTGGTGACCCCCTCAATTCATAGTCAGGGTTTATTACTCAGGGGTTGACATTAAGGGAAAATCAACAGCGAAAAATATATTGTGTGGGTTGCCTGCAATTTTTCCGAGAAACAAAAGAATTGGGAATGATCCTGTTTTCCCATGTGAAAGTGTGGCTAACGCTGCAAGTTGTAAGCATGATTTCGAAGCAATTGCTAAGTGGGATGGTGATTGGTATAGGGCATGGCTGAGTGACTTTACAGAGACTTCCACCCAATAAATATGCCACACGGGGCTCCTCTCAAGAATTGGGGGATGCTTACAGGATGCTTCAAAAAGAATACTCTTCAGTGCTGGCAAACATGGCAAGCTGGAAAATCCACCACATATAAATTATCCTAAATGTGTTTTTTAGTGGGAAAATCATCTGTTAAATGGAGGTATTGTCCATGGCCACGTTTCATTGCCAGAGGCTCCACGTGCCGAGCTTCGAAGCTCCCATTGCTGCCATGCAACAGTGCGCAGGGTTGTGCGGAGCCGATGGCAATTTGGAATCCATTATTCATCACCTGACCATCTCCCAGGCAGAAAACCTCCTCCGTCACGTTCCCGGCCATGTCCTGCGAGCAGGAAAGTGCCAAGTTCAAAGAATCCCACAGCCTCTCGTGTTAGTCCCGGCATTGAACTATGGCCAGCCATGCCGAACCGTGACCTGCTTTGTACTGGACCCATGAAGCATCAGTAGCTGCGCCCTTCCATTCCAGCAGGAGTCAACCCAGGGAAATCTGGCCATACCACCACTACTGTTGCATCCAATCAAATACGAACGTGAGATCAGGACGTTCCAGCTAATTCACACCCGTTTCACGGCCTACTGCAAATGAGTACATATGCCTCGCGCAAACATCCTCGACCAGTTACAACTGCAAACATTGGTCATCTGTACTAGTAGATCATGACGTTTTGTAGGCCTATACCCCTGCCCCTATGTCTCATCCCTCCAATTCCAGCCCCCTGACCGTCCATGTTCCCATGATGGTGATGGTGATCCATGTGATCCATGTGATCCATGACCCGGGCGCTCCGGACTAAGCCAAAGCACTGCAGGGTGCAGAAATTCGGAAATTGGTGCAACATGGCGAAACAACCTTCCGTAAAATTAAAGACCCCCAAACAACCACGGGTTTGCTGTGTCTCCTTTTGGACCCAACTGTCAAATCAAGAAAACGTGCAGGCAGCAAATGGCAATCACAGTTGAATGGAGGGGGATCAGCTAATGATAAGAGGTATGAGGGGTGCCAGCCATCACAAAATCAATTTTCACCTGTCTGGGTTCCCCTCTAATTGACCAGTTGAGGTTTCATCCTGGGCAAACACGAGTCCAAATCACAATCAAGGCTCACCACTCAGTGATTGTGACGGCCCTCACCACAAGAATAAGCAGGCTTTTGATATGTTGGCGCACCGTTTCCATGTCTTCCCATGGCTTCAAAAAACCATACAGCAATAACCAAAGAAGCACTGGGATATCCATGCTAAATGGCCCTTTGGTAAACAACCAGTGGAAAATCCTCTGGGAAATAGCACCAGGAATCGAATCCTCTCAGTCCCATGCCTGGCCAAACGGCTAACCTTGGTGCCTGCGCCGCAAACGAGTTCTGTAGCATCCATGATATCTTGAGGCAAACTACAGTTTTTCGCGTACCTTCAACATCAAAAACGAGCCAACACCTGGCATTGAAAAAAACACCTGGCACTGGAGCTGGATATTGAAATCATGTCATTTTCCAAACCCGAATGGGGATTCCAGGATTCCCTCATGGATTATCTGATCCTGATCCCCAAAAAAATATCAGGGGTTCGTGCCTGGCAGGCACTCAGCCCCAAATGTGGCACTCGTGGTGCACACCAAACCGCCATGGCAGCATGGTGGCCACGAAACCCACGAAAAAAATGCTGGGCATGTGCCCCAAATCTATGATATTTACGGCCATTTATGGCTATTCAAGAACGGGAAAACGGATTTTCCAAAGTTGTTTGGGATTGTGATACCTTTTGATGTTTTTTCCCAAGAATCGTCAATCACATAGCTGAGGTGATCATGCATGGTTTCCGTGTCTTGGGCCGGCCGACTTCGTTGCGACTCGGCTTCTCTACATCGCAAACCAAAATGGGGGACATTTTGGACCCACCAGACCGGTATCTTTAGGTACTAAACAATTCATTCTTGGAGATAAGACTTTGAGCCATATCATATTTTTCCGTCTGCAAAACCATAAATGATTGCTTCCTTTGCCGGATAATCTTGAACCTAACAACAGACTGTGACTCAAATTACGATGACGACGACAATGGCGACCAAGACCAGAACGACCACCACCACCACCGCCACCACCACCAACATCATCATCATCATCATCATCATCGTCTTTAGCATAGTTCGTGTCAAGTCCGCAACTATTTCGAAGGCTTTGGAGTAGAGACCTGGAAATCAATCGCCTCCCGGAAATTCGGCGCTCTAAGAAACTGCCAGGCTTGTTGCAGACTTTAGGAAAGGTGCCCAGCCCATTTCATATATAACTATATATATATACATATACATATATACATATACATATACACATACATATATATATATACAGTATATAGATATATATACACATGTATATTTTACACATTTTACATGTGTATATATATATATGTATGTGTGTGTGTACCTATACATGGACTTTTCGGATCTAAATATACAAACATATTGACATATGTTATCTACCACAAAAGCGAAAGCACGGGATGGCGATGTTGTCCAGCTCTTCCACGGTCATCAGCTCCCTGGGACACGTTCGGAACTGCCACCTACAGTTGTGTACATAGATTTAAGTATGTATATATGTATAATAGATATTATATATATATATCAAAGTGCCATCTGAAACTCGATACTGATCGCGCTCTCGCAGCTTCCTTTTTTCCACAGCCAAGCCTATGTTAAGTCAATGTCACCTGCAATCCTCAGGTTTGCTTTGGGTTGTCACTGTGTGACATGTACATAGCCCCAGACCAGTTTCACCACTGGTCAGCTACCTGGAACTCCAGGCTGGAACCTGCTCTGCAGGTATCACCCAATGCACTAAACTTCCCAAAGCACTAAAGGAATTCAAAGGTGAGAATGACAGCAACAAAAGGCAGCTGGAAAAAGATGGTCGGGAGATACGACGAGTAAAATTCAAAACCATGGCATCGCCACCATGGATCATTGACGCCACGTCGGCTGATGTCATCAGCCCAGTTGCTCTTGCTCTGGACGTACTCCCAGTAACCCTGGGCTCGCAGTGCAAACAGAGCTAAGTGGATCAAATGACCTAGCTTCGCTAAGTCGGCATGGCTAGAACGTCCTCTCACTAGCGTCATGACGGCTGCAACATTGTCCAAAAACCAGAGGCCGTGTCGATTTCGAAACAGGTCAGGTCTTTCGGCTAAGGCGTAGAGCACCATCGAGAGTTCCAGCTGGGCGATGTGGGTTTCTGCAGGCTGCCATAGTGTCTGAAGCTCTGCACAATTGTTGGCCACAAAACTGTGACGAATTTGTGATCCGTCTGACTGGAAAAAGATCAGGTGAAAACCTCCTGAACCTGGATTGTCTGCTTCAACTGCTGCATCTGATGCCGCGAGGAAGCGCAGATGCTCGAAGCGCAGCACGGGAAATTCCCGTTTGTCGGGTTGTAAAAAGATGAGGTGAAAACCGCCTGATCCTGGATTCTCCGCTTTGACAGCTGCATCTGATGCAGCCAAAAATCGAAGCCGCTCCATTGGGAAAACTGGAAATTCACGTTTTGGCTCGAAACGGATCACTGCTTCGATCACCTCGAAGCATTCTTCAATCTCTGAAGTCAAGCTGGTGGCACTCTCGTCCTGGCAAGCCTTCACTGCCATAAGGCCACCATAGCCAACTCGGCCATGCCCTGCTCCTCAAGTTTCCCGAACTGAGAGCACCCGTACTTGGAAGCTGAAATTCGCATAAAAGTTCGAGCCAGATTCATGGCAATTGGTGACCACCACGTAGGATCGCCCCCATGTGGGCCCCAAACCTATGTCACAAAAGCAAGTAAGGCCACATCAAGTAGGATTGCCTCCTGCTTGAAACCCAACCTGCTTAAGACAGCAGAGGCCCACAGCCATGTGGCTACTGCCTGGCCATGCCCATGGGCAACCTGTGAACCTCAAGTAGCGTTACCTCTACTTGGAACCTGGCTTGCTGGGGCAGTCAAAACCAGCTCTGCTGAAAACGCCAACACGGGTGCCAGCAAGTAGAATTACCCCCCACTTGGACTCCAAACCTACAGCGCTAAGGCAATAAGGCCACACCAAGCAGGATCACCTCCTGCTTGAAACCCAACCGGCTTGAGACAGCAGAGGCCCGTGTCTCTGAGCGCACTGCCGACACCCAGCTTGCTTGGGGAAGTCAAAACCAATAGCAGCCAATGCTGCTGAACTTACAAAATCTAAGTTTCCAAAAGTAGGATCACCTCTACTTGGAAACTGAAATCTGCTTAAAAATTCGAGCCAGATTCATAGCAAGTGTTGGGCACCACCACGTAGGATCGCCCCCACGTGGGCCCCAAACCTATGTAACAAAAGCAAGTAAGGCCGCATCAAGTAGGGTTACCTCCTGCTTGAAACCCAATCTGCTCAAGGCAGCAGAGGCCCACAGCCCTGTGGTCACTGCCTGGCAATGCCCATGGGCTACCTGTGAACCTCAAGTAGCGTTACCTCTACTTGGAAACCTGGCTTGCTGGGACAGTAAAAACCAACAGCCTCCAGCTCTACTGAAAACGCAAACACAAGTGCCAACGAGCAGGATTACCTCACTTGGACCCCAAACCTACGTCACTAAGGCAATAAGGCCACACCAAGCAGGATCACCTCCTGCTTGAAACCCAAACGGCTTGAGACAGCAGAGGCCAATATATCTGAGCGCACTGCCGACACCCAGCTTGCTTGGGGGAGTCAAAACCAACAGCAGCCAATGCTGCTGAGATTGCAAAATCCAAGTTTCCAGAAATAGGATCACCCCTACTTGGAAACTGAAGTTCATATTCATGGCAACTGCTTGGCACCCTCAGGTAGGATCACCCCCACTTGGATGCCGAACTTATGTCGCTAAAGCAATTAGGGCTACACCACCCAACCAGCTTGAGACAGCAGAGGCTCACAGCCCTGTGGTCACTGCCTGGCAGTGCCGATGGGCAAGCCGTGACCCTCAAGTAGCGTTACCTCTACTTGGAAACCCAGCTTGCTTGGGGCAGTCAAAACCAACAGCCTCCAGCTCTGCTGAAATCGCAAAAATCCAAGTTTCCAGAAGTAGGATCACCCCTACTTGGAAACCGAAATTCGCCTAAAAACTGGCGCTACATTCATGGCAAGTGTTGGGCACCAGCGAGTAGGAATACCCCCACTAGGACCCAAAACAAATGTCGCTAAAGCAAGAAGGCCCCACCAAGCAGGATTACCTCCTGCTTGAAACCCAACCTGCTTACGACAGCAGAGGCCCACATCTCTGTGCTCACTACCGACACCCAGCTTGCTTGGGGAAGTCAAAAACCAACAGCCCCCAGCTCTGCTGAAATTTGCAAAAATCCAGCTTCCAGAAGTAGGATCACCCCTACTTGGTAGCTGAAATTCGCTTAAACAATTCAAGCCATATTCATGGCAACTGCTGGGCACCCTCAGGTAGGATCACCCCCACTTGGACCGAACGTGTGTCGCTAAAGCAATTAGGGCCACACCAAGTAGGATTGCCTCCTACTTGAAACCCAACCTGCTTAAGACAGCAGAGGCCCACAACCCTGTGGTCACTGCCTGGCAGTGTCGATGGGCAACCTGTGAGCCTCAAGTAGCGTTGCCTCGACTTGGAAACCCAGCTTGCTTGGGGCAGTCAAAACCAACAGCCTCCAGCTATGCTGAAATTGCCACCAAAAAAAACTGTTTCCATGGCAGGTGTTGGGCACCCTCAAGTAGGACTACCCCCACTTGGACCCGAAACCTATGCCGCTAAATCAATAAGGCAACAAGTAGGATTACCTCCTGCTTGAAACCCAACCTGCTTAA